AAAATTATAGAAGTGTGTTAATATTCATCCTTTCTCTACACAAAATTATATTAATTGGGCAGTTTTTATTTTAAGCCAATAGGTTGTTCCATTCAGCTACTTGAAGTACCTCAAGGTAGTAATACGAGTCTGGCCTCCTTTTGTGACAAAGTAAAAAAGTAAGTATTGCTATTTTGTTAAAATTTGAAGTTTCTGTGCCTAAATGAATTTGTCTATTTTTACATCACTTAAATGATTAATTTTACATATAAAACAAGAAAGTCCTCAGTGAAAGATAGAAATTTTTTACAGGCCTCGGCGTGGTGGCTCCACACCCTGAATCCTAGCACCTGGGAGCCGAGGCGGGCGGATTGCTCGAGTCAGGAGTTCGAAACCAGCCTGAGCAAGAGCGAGACCCCGTCTCTACTATAAATAGAAAGAAATTAATTGGCCAACTAATATATATATATATATATATATAACACACACACACACACACAACATATTATATATATATATAGTATATATATATATATATAAACTTAGCGGGCATGTGGCGCATGCCTGTAGTCCAGCTACTCCGGAGGCTGAGACGGTAGGATCGCTTGGAGCCCAGGAGTTGAGGTTGCTGTGAGCTAGGCTGACGCTATGGCACTCACTCTAACCTGGGCAACAAAGTGAGACTCTGTCTCAAAAAAAAAAAAAAAAAAAATAAATTAATTGGCCAACTAAAAATATATAGAAAAAATTTTAAAAAGAGAATTTTTACAAATTAGTTAATTAAATCAACTTCTGTTAATATTTTTGTTGTTTATGGTCACATAGCATTTTTCTCTTTAAAAATGATTTAAATTTAAAATTTTAAATTGTTTAAGATTGAATGTTTCATCAATTCAGACCTGCTTTGTAGTTTGTTGGTTGTTTGATTTACAATGAACTAATTTTTCCAAAAGACATACGTGACTAACCTCTCTGGCTTTAGGCCCCAAATAACATAGTTTATCCCTCTTACCTGGGATATAAGAGTTGCCTTCCTTCTTAATAGTTCAATGTTATCTTGATGGGTTGACAGAATATTAAATAAATGTATGTATGTTAATCTGCTGAAAACAAATTTTCTCAGCAGGAGTATTATTTAAAAAAATCACTGATCTTTTGCTAATGTAAAATTGAATGATGATAGAAAAATAGATGCCTTTTTAAAAGATCAATTTCTTATTTGCAATTAAAATTTATAAATGCCATCTCTTTTGTTACTAAGGTTCCTGAAATTTTGAAAACATTAATGCACTTCATTTTACTTTCTTGAGTTCAACCCATTTTATAGATTTGTTGTGAGCGTATATAAATATTATTTTTATAGCTAACTTCTACTAAATGGCAATTTAGGAGTAAGATTTAATCATTTATTGTAATTAGGCAAGTTAAAGGCCAATTTAGGTCCTAATTAACTAGGCCATTCATGAGAGATTCAAATTTAAAACAATAAGTTAAAAAAAAACAAGTCCCTGGCTTAAAAATCGTATAACCATATTGATGGATTGAAAGGAACCAAAGAGTATAAAACAAAATTATATCAAATCCCATGAAAATGTTCAATCTTTAGTTAATTTCGTTGCTTTAGTTTACAGAAAAGAAATTTAAATTTACTTGGATTCCTAAATTAGGATCTAAGTTATTAATATTGATGCTTTCAAATAAGCTACTCGTTGAACGAAATGACAACATAGTGAGAAACCACTTTAAATAAAATGTGGAATTATTCTAAAGAGAAATAGCTCTATACTATATCACTCCTCAGTAAACTCAACTGACAGGACCTTAGTATTAGCTCTCTGTGCGCCCTTTTAAAAATCATATTTCATATTCTAGTGAAATTTATTGCAGATGCCATATGACATGAAATATTATATGATGTTTGCAGTTAGCCCTAGTGATTTTCAAAACTTAAAAAGTAATATTTCATGTTCTTCAAAAATAATAAGAACAAAACAATAACGCAATAGTAACTTTAAAGTATGTGATAAGCATTTTTATATTCACACGCTTTCCTTGTCAGTAACTTTATTGCAAAATTATCATATAAGTGATACATATAAAATGATATTTTGCACCATACTTATTTACACAACAATTAAATTTTTTGAAACCATTATGTGCTGTGGACTCAATTCAAAAGAGAAGATCAATGAGTGAATCCAAATTTATAAAGGTCCTAAACCAAACAGAGTAGAATGAAACTTACATATCTAATTGTCTATATTTCAATATTCAAGATGACACATACCTAAAATGTTACTATCATTCCTTGTATATTCTATTTAAAGAGGAATTCTTATTTGTTTTATTGTTCTCTTTGTGACATACTTAAGCCACATTTTTTCAGAAATATGGCCACATTCTTGTAAAAAATATGAAAAAGGCCATGAGCATATGAAAGAAGTTCCTGCTACAATAGATGCCAGCAAAGGGCTTAGGAAGAATTAATCATAATTTGCATTTTAAATTTAATTCCCAACGCGTGCGCGCGCGGGCGCGGGGGCGGCGCCGCGGCGCCGGCAGCGCGCCGCGCGGGCCGGGCACCTGCCGCGGCGCGGCGGCGCGGCGATGTAGAAACTGAAATGTGTATGCATTGAGAAGCATCTCTTCGGTGAGGGGTCGAGGTGAACAGTCGGCATGGAGCCTCCTCGTGGCGACCTCTCTTGATGCTGGAATGAATTACACCTTATAGTAGGGTGACAAAGGGTAGTGGCCCTTCTTATCCTGAGCAGTGGTTCTCAAAATATACAGTTACCAGACGCAGTGCCAGAAAGGGGGCCCGGGAACCTCCTGAGAAAAGTGCTGGCCAGGTAGACAGGTTTGAGGACTCACGGATCGAGCGACGATCGAAGCTATGCGATGGACCCAAAAACAAAGTGGTCACTGATGATAGCCAGGCCCACTAGTATATGTACTATCCATGGTTCAACCCATCCTGTTGGCGGTGATTTTCAGAAATAGAAACAAAATATAGAGATGATAGCCATATTTCACACCGATCTGCACACTATTAGCACTGCACAAACTGCTCGACAACAATAAGCTAAGCATGCAACAGTATCAAGCAGCAATGATATAATTCCATTTGGGAAGAGCATCATGACGTTTAATCGTCGCATAATTAGCATGAAACACAAAGATATTCATTATTCACACCAAAAAACAATTTTAAATAATACACTGTAATACTCTTAATGCCATCGTTACATGTGGGTATAACACATGGTCTAACAAGATCACAGGTGATGGTAATACATAATAATAATTATGAATATATTACACTGCTGAATTATTTCAACACTCCTGCAAAACCATATTCACATGACTTTAATTAATTCACAAATACAACCTTTGAAGTAGATAGCAATAACCATCTTGTGCGCAAGAACTAGTCACAGTTAATTGCCTCTGTCAGATATATTACTAAATGAAAGTTTACAGATTCAAATCAACGGCTCTGGCTTACGGAATAAGTTGTTTATGCAATTCTACTCATTTCTGCACAACAATTGCTCAGACATAAAATAACTTCTAGAAGCTCATGTGTAAAGTCGCAAAAATATTTTGTAAAATCAAAAAAATTTAAGAAAGTGGAGAGACAAGAATAAGTGTTTATAAAATTTACATGAATAAGGAAAACATATAACTAATAACCAAATTTCTAAATCAAATTGAATGATTGTAGCTTGAAAAATTAGGCGATGAGAGAAATCTAAAGGAGGAATTCAAGTCATTGCAAAGCAAATACAATACAGCAAATGCTGGTGTTGACTGCAAGTATATTCTCATGTTTATGTTATGACAACATATTCTTAATTATGAGAGTGCCCTAGGAAGCTAAAGAACGCAGTCCTAACAACATAATTTTGTACATTGTAAATCACTAACCAATCTGGCCGTAGCTAAAATGCAGACCGAAATCAATTACTGATTGTTTTCATTTAATCTTTTACAGAAAAAACACACCAAAAACAGACAACGAAAAATTTTTTTTTAATCATACAATATCCTGTGGGAACATATGTTATTAAACAATCTTAGATCTTGTCCTAAGTGTGTCTTCACTGTATTATTCAGAATAGATCGAAATATTCCATGCACTACATTAAATACCAATTCTGGGAAAATCTGGAGCATTGCTACAGCATTATCCATATCGGCTCTTAATACTATATACAAGTTACAAACATAAAAATATCAACGACACCTCAACAGAACGTTCGTTTGAAGCCACTCATGTAACACACTTGGCAAACAGATATAGAAATCGTACATAGAGCTGATGTGGTTCACACAGCTGAGTTCGTCGCTCGAAATTAATTAAAAAAGACTCTATTAGCATTTTGCCCTGAAGTGACAACAAGGAAATAGCTGAGAGCCTTTATCAACATGATACACAGTTGATAGAGAAATCTCTCAAAAAAAAAAAGAAAAGAAATTCACTCCAGTTGAACAATCAGGAGATTAGTTTATAGGGATAAGAATAGTCAGTGTGCACATTGATGGTACATGGTATAAACAATCTGTAAGTATGTAAACCAGGTACTGAACTCTTTGAGGACGGTGAGGCTATGCCTTGGAAATTGTCAGATGTTGAATAAACATATGGTTAGTATTAATGCCTAAAGAGGTAATATTGGAGACTATATAGAGTATATAATGAACAGTATATTATGGAGAACGTCAAGAGGATTGTGGCATATAGAGAAAGTCTTATTTCAGTAACCTGAGGAAACTCTGATAACTGAAAAAGATTCAAGGAGGCAGACAGGACTAGATAGGCAGATAGGCTTTGATAGGTCTAATTTTAAACCTAAAAAAAAGGAAAGATTTAGAAAAGGATAATAATTGTTCATAAAGATCAGTGTTCAAATTACAAATTGGTGGCATCAAGAGCTGTAGCTACCATAGAGACATGTATTGCTTGGCTTGGTATTTTTTTTTTTTTTTTTTTTTTTTTTGTATATTGAGGAGAGAAAGAGTTTCTTGGATGAATTATGATTTAAGTTTTGGACTTTTAGTTGAAGATTTAAAAAGAAAATTCAAGTGGGGATATTGACTAAGTAATAAGAAGAATGGTCTAAATTGGAGTCATTGATAAATTGAAGGTAATTTAAACCACAGGAGGTGTCAAATAACTTACAATGAGAGAAAAAATGAGAAGAAAATAAGCTCTGACAAGGATAAGGTGGAAAGTGAGCAATAGGCAAAAGAGTCTTTGAGGAAGAAGCAAATAAGGAAAAACTCAGCACAGTGTCATAGAAAGCCAAAGGTAGAAATCAAGAAATGTTAAAGCAAGAAGAATGGTGAATGACATCAAAAGCTATGAAGAGGTAAATTCAAAAAGAGACTGAAAAATGTCAGTTGAATTTGCTAACTTGAAGCTTATTGATGAACTTAATAGGAGTCATTTTTGAGAAGTGGATAAGAGAGTAATTATTTAAAAAGTTTTGGGGAGGAGAGGAAAGAGTCTAGCCAATCATTTTAAGATAACCGGTTATGGAGAGTAGAAAAGAGTTGAAAGTAGTTCTGGGGATGGGATAGTTGCTAAACAAGAAGAGACTGTGCATCTAATAAGAAAAAAATGTTACCATGCCAGCATGCTTATAGATGATTGGGTACTGAGGGGAAATACATCAGTATTTCCCCTCTATATTCAAGTGACAAGTGGATATTCAGTGGGAAAAGAAGTCAAAAAGGGGTAATACTGTCTTTAATAGATTCATGAAATTCTTGTCATAATTGATGTGGGCTTATTTTTCTATCATAGGAGTTTCATAAATCTATCTAAATTAGTACTTCCCCCTCAGACTTGTAATATTGTGAGTCCTGATTGAATTTTACTGTACTCAAGGAATTATTTCACTTGGTAAGAAAAAACTTCAAAACATTTGTTTATATTTATTCATCATATTTCTTTTTTGCAAGCTCATTTATTTCTACTTAGATATTTTTTGTTTCCTTTTATATTTTTTCTAGGAAAATTTCTCTCTTCTTTTATAATATCATCAAGGAGATATTTGGGGCAGAGTCATCAAACCCTCTCAGTTACATAAAATAAAAACATGGCATATTTTTGGCAAACAGATCCAAATCCCAATGAATCACATGAAAAACAATATGAGCACCAAGAATTTCACTCCATAAATCAACCCCTTTCTTCTAGTCAAGTCAGTCTCAGTTTTGACCAGGTGGTAGTTGAGATCAGTAACAAAACTCCACTCTCTGAGAGTGAAATTGAAGAAAACACCTTTTTTGGACCCACTGCCCCAAACATGGATTCACAAAGTCATTCATTAGATGAAACACACCAAATATCCTTCAATAGATTCACTTCGAAAAGCCCTGAAGTCTCATGGCATCAAGTGAGGAAAACACCAGTAATTGGTTTTAGTCCTTCTGTGTTACCAGAACCTCAAGAATGCTCCTGGAGAAATCCCATGGGACAATATCATGGTACCGATGATTCTAGACTCAATATTTTAGCTCCATCATCTACTAGTTTGGATAAAATTAATCCACAGAGAGAATTAGAAAATGAAAATTATAACTACCATATAGGATTTGAAAGTAGCATTCCTCCTGTACACTCATCCTCCTCAACTGATTTCATGTCAAAAGAAGAACATAAAAGGAGTGGATATATGAATATTGGGGAGCCTTCTCTGATGCTCTCTAAAGGTTGGTTTCTACCCAGGATGTGGGAAAGTGCATGGCCAAAGAACATAGAGGTATGTATATGCCAATCTAAAACTATAAATCTGAAAAAATCATTCAACAATGTATTGTATTAATGTGGTAATGAAGGTAACTAACCTTATACAGGGGATATCTATTAATATTACTTTTGAAAAAAATTACTTATTTTCACAAATTTCATGTTCTTAAACTAATGATCTTTTCTGGGAAAAAAAGGAAATAAGTTTTTAAAAGTATCATTTTTAAAGTTCTAGTCTCATCAAAAGTAAATAAAATGTTATAGTGCTTATATTTTATTGAATAAAAATATCATAGTTGAAGGTTTAATTGATAATATTTTCTATTTTTATTGTGTTATGTGCGTGTACAAACACATATACATCTCATTACATGTATATTTTGAGTGACACAATAATGTTTGAAACTTTATATGATTATTGGTAGTAAAAATGCCCCTTTACCAAGAGACTTCTAATTTATGCTATTGGCAGGCAACTTCTATTTGAGATCATTCCAAAAGTAGGCGATTGAGTCATTATTATAGAACTCATTCTAATGGTTTCATCAGTAGCTTTTCAATAATTTTAGTAACCAGACAGTTTCCTCTAAATTCGAAGATTTCTCTGCTAGAATCAAGACACAAGTAAACCCAGAAGTAAACAGTTAAAATGAAGAAACATTATTGCAGCTGTAATTTACAGGGTGAGGCAAAAGGATTATTCATTTACTCAGCAACTATTTATCAAATCCTTAAAATATATTGTGATGTGCTAGGCAGAATTAATGCAAAAAGGAAAAGAAATGTACCTGAATTCAGGAAAGCATAATGCTCAAATTAACTTGCAAGCAAATAATGACAACACAGTAAAATAGGAGATGGGGTGAGTGCATAGGAAAAGAAATAGCTAATTCTACCTAATTCTAGTTCACTTGCAGAAGAGGTAGCACTTCAACCGATTAGAATTAAAAGTCAATAAATTTTAGGAAAATCTAGCTCTGATCACAACAATGTAATAAGTATTAAATGTTCCCTACAGCTAAAACCAACTATAAAGTCAGACAAAAATGAAGCAGCTGGTTTCAGGTGTTGAACAATAGGCAGTATAGAACATAGATCCTTGAGAAAAGTGAGCACTGAGATCATCCTGGTTTCTGCCTGAGGGCAGTTTTCTGCTGCTATGCAGGCAGGTGGAACTCAATCTGAGCAACAGAATTTCTGAGCTGAGGAGGTAGAACTTGCAGTTTCAGGCTGCAGAAGCAACTGTGGTTTGCAAAGCAGACAGCTCTAGAGAAAAAGTAGCTATGCAATGTAAGGGTCAGAAGTATACAGAAGATTTACTGCATATCCTTAGCTGAGTATTTGGATGTGGTTGCAAGGCTTAGTAGATATTGCCAGCTTTGGGCTGAAAATTGGATGGTCATTGTTTTCATCACGCAAAGTAGAAGTTATACAGTGCAGAAATTTGGGCCAAGCTAGAGAAGAGACAAGTTAAGAACATCATGTATGCAAATGAGATTCCACAAAGTCATGTCTTAAGAGCAAAATCATGCTCTAAAGTAAATGCTACACCAACCAAAATAAATGTTCCCTAACAGAAAATAAAAACAAGGCTGACAAGACTAAATGCCTGCCAGAGAAAAACTGTATACTTTATAAAAAATATTTAAATCACATTTTATAATATGCCATCTACAAAATCCAACATACAATAACAAATGCACAGACACATAAATTGTGGGGAATTTTGGCCTATAATCAAGGAAATAACCTTATCAGTAGTAAGAACCACCTGGAGATAATCCAGGTGTTGGAATCTAGGTGTTGGAATTAGCAGTTAGGAACTTTAAAGTGGTTATTAAAGGTATGCGCAAGTAGATAAAGTAAAAGATGCTCATAATGGTTAGTCCAATGATGATCTTGGCAGTGTTATGGTACGGAGTGCAAGCAATGACCACCTCAGACCGAATTGAAACAAATTGCGAGTCTTTATTAGCTGGCCAGCAACAACCTCTGTCCCCCAGGATGGCAGGTACAGAGAGAGGCCCCAGTCAAAGGAGCAGGAAGGTTTATATAGCCTTCTAAGTTAGGGGCTACGTGACTTTTAGGCACAGCAGTTGAAACATTATCTTGTAAGTTTACATCATGTTTTCCATGCCGTGGGGTCCAGAACTATCCTCGAACCCCCTGGCCGGATAACAACACTAATAATACTAACAATTTTTGTGCAAGGTGGGTTATAGAAGCCAACAACATCAGCCAAGGTTACAGCACATTCTTTTCTAAATTGAGCAAACATAGTAAAATTTTAAGTATATGCAGCTGCAAGGTTACACAAATGGCTCTGAATTATTGTTCTGTTTTTTTCCTTCTGCAAGCCTTAGGAATTTCTACTGAGGGTCTGGGATAACAGGAAACACTAGGTCAGCTTCTACTTCTACAGGCAGGAAATTAGAAACTATAGGAAAAAAAAAATCCCAATTCTAGTATTGAAAATGTAATACCTGTAATGAAAAAGTCACTGTGTGATTTTTAACAACAGATAGGAAATGATAAGGGTGAACATAGTAAACTTGAAAGCAAAACAATAGAAATTATCCAAACAGAAGAAGAAAAAAATACAGGGATTATATAAAAATGAGCAGGGATTCAGAGACCTTTGCAACAAGCAGCATAATATATGGATAATTGGAATGCTAGCAGGAAAGAAGAAAGATAGGGAAGAAAATTAATTTGAAGAAATAATGATCAGAAATTGCCGGTTTGGTAGGGAAATATCAAATTCCAGATCTAAGAAGCTCAACAAATTCCAAACAGAATAAATACAAAGTCAACCCATTTTACTCAAATATCTGAAAACCAAAATTAAAGAGAAAATTGTAAGAGGAAGCTGAGCGGGAAAACCAGATTTCACACTGTAGGACAGCGAACTTTGCATTGCAAACAATGGAAAACAGAGACAGTGGAATGAGATTTTAAAATTCTTTAAAAGAAAAAAAAAAACACCCATATTTCTATATCCATTGAATATATGCTTCAAAACTAAAAACAAAATACATTACCATATAAACACATATTGGGAGAAATTAGTCAACTAACATGCATACAAGAAATACCAAAGTAAATGCTTCCTGTATGAAGATAATGACATCAGATAGAATCTAGAAAGGACTGAAGAGCAATAGAAATGTTAAGTATGTTGGAAAATACAAAAGATGACTTTTAATTTTTTGAAAGACAGCTGACTAAAGCCAAATAAGATCATGTTATTATGGAATTTCTTGTGTACATGGAAGAAAAATATATGTTAACAATAGCATAATGGGTGAAAGGCGTAAATGTTATTTTGCTATTGTAAATTCTTAACATTTTAAATGCAGAGGTACAGTATTAACTCTAAGTAAACTGAGATATATCAAGGATGGATATTGTAATTCCTAAAGCTAGCACGACCAACTGTAAACAGAAAAAAAAAAACACAAAGAAAGCAAATCTAACAATTCAATAGAAGAATTATTAAGTCGAATAGAAAAAAATTAAGTAACCAAAAATGTCAGGGAAAATAGAAGAACACAATTAAGTAGCAACAAATATAAGTCTGACAGTCTTAAATGTGTAAAAAGAAAATCAAAGTCTAAGGGCCACCCTAGACCCCTATGCAAAAGAGAAGGTAAAAGCCTCAGGCACCTATGAGAAACTGGCTCCACAAATCATTCATTAAGGAAATTCCTTGCTAACCTTCCATAAGCAAGACATGAAAATTGTACCTGTGTCCCAAATCCACACTAATAACAAATACTAGTTTATCTCTGCAGGTAACAGAATGGACAAGATAGAATCACACATTCTTCCACCTACTCCATGATATTGACATAATTGTTGCTTCCTTCCCTCCCTTTTTCCCTTCTAACCTTTCCCTTATTTTATGTAAATGTAAATTTCCCACCTCACATAACCGGTTTGCTGTCAGCTACCTCAGCTTTTTCTTTCTCTATATATGCTTTTAAATGCTGAAGTTTCCAACATTCCCTTTGGAAAACAGCCACGGCTGTCTCGTGCGTTCATGTTTTTGCTAGGTGCACCCTCAAAATCTTGGCTTAATAAACCTCCATTGATTGAGATTTTGCCTCAATCATTTATCTTGAGTGACAAATCCAACAACCTCTGAAATATGTTAAAATTAAATAGACTAAATGTTCAAACAAAAAGCAGAAATTGACAAACAAGATTTAGAAAAAGACTCCACTAGTAAGCTCAAGGGACAAACTTAAGAAACAAAAGCACAGATAGATTGAAAGTAAAAAAAAAAACAAAAAGATTTAACATTCAACCAGAAAAAGAAAGGTGGTGTAGTTATTTATATTGGAAAAAGTACAGTGGACACAATTTTTAGAGAAAATAAGGGTCATTTTGTAATGATGAACGAGTCAATCAGAAAGAGGTATAAAGTGTATATCTATATAGAACCTAAAAACAGAGCTTCAAAATATAATACATAGGCAAAATTGATTTCTTTTAAAACTAATCATATGCATATCCTCTCACATGATCCATTCTGCATATATTCCTAAGAAATGAAGCATATTTCCACATAATTACTTATGTATGTACGTTAATAGTTTTCTTCATAATAACAAAAGCTTAAAAACAATACAAATGTCCATCAACAGGAATGCTAAACAAATTGTGCATAGACACACAATGAAATCTACTTATTAGCAATAAAAATGATGAACTATTGATATGTGGACAACATGAATAAATGTTAAATATATTTATATGTAATATATATTTATATAATATAAAATATTACATATATAAAATTAAGTGAAAGATCCAGAAATAAAAGTACATACATGCAATTGATAGTGATATAAGTCTGAATAACAGTGATTATCAGTAGGTGTGCAGATTGACAAAAAGGAGATGTGGAGGGACATGTCTAAAATGAGGGAAATGTTCTATATTTTCATTCGGGTGTTGATAGCACAGTTGTATGAATTCTACAAAACTCAAATAATTTACACTTCAGATCTATGCACTTTTCTATGTGTAAATATTACCTTAATTTAGAAAATCTAAAAGATTAAAAATAAAATCTAACGATCTTTCAAACAGGATAAAATTATAGAAGTGGTTAATATTCATCCTTTCTCTACACAAAATTATATTAATTGGCAGTTTTATTTTAAGCCAATAGGTTGTTCCATTCAGCTACTTGAAGTACCTCAAGGTAGTAATACGAGTCTGGCCTCCTTTTGTGACAAAGTAAAAAAGTAAGTATTGCTATTTTGTTAAAATTTGACGTTTCTGTGCCTAAATGAATTGTCTATTTTTACATCATTAAATGATTAATTTACATATAAAACAAGAAAGTCCTCAGTGAAAGATAGAAATTTTTACAGGCCTGGCGTGTGGCTCACACCTGTAATCCTAGCACTCTGGGAGCCGAGGCGGGCGGATTGCTCGAGCAGGATTCGAAACCAGCCTGAGCAAGAGCGAGACCCGTCTCTACTATAAATAGAAAGAATTAATTGGCCAATAATATATATATATATATATATATACACACACACACAACACACACTATATATATATATATAATATATATATATATATAACTTAGCGGGCATGGTGGCGCATGCCTGTAGTCCCAGCTACTCCGGAGGCTGAGACGGTAGGATCGCTTGAGCCCAGGAGTTTGAGGTTGCTGTGAGCTAGGCTGACGCTATGGCACTCACTCTAGCCTGGGCAACAAAGTGAGACTCTGTCTCAAAAAAAAAAAAAAATAGAAATTAATTGGCCGACTAAAAATATATAGAAAAAAATTTTTTAAAAAGAGAAATTTTTTACAAATTAGTTAATTAATCAACTTCTGTTAATATTTTTGTTGTTTATGGTCACATAGCTATTTTTCTCTTTAAAAATGATTTAAATTTTAAAATGTTTAAATTGTTTAAGATTGAATGTTTCATCAATTCAGACCTGCCTTTGTAGTTTGTTGGTTGTTTGATTTACAATGAACTAATTTTTCCAAAAGACATACGTGACTAACTCCTCTGGCTTTAGCCCCAAATAACATAGTTTATCCCTCTTACCTGGGATATAAGAGTGCCTTCCTCTTAATAGTTCAATGTTATCTTGAATGGGTTGACAGAATATTAAATAAATGTATGTATGTTAATCTGCTGAAAAACAAATTTTCTCAGCAGGAGATATTATTTAAAAAAATCACTGATCTTTTTGCTAATGTAAAATTGAATGTATGATAGAAAAGTAGATGCCTTTTTAAAAGACCAATTTCTTATTTGCAATTAAAATTTATTTAATGCCATCTCTTTTGTTACTAAGGTTCCTGAAAATTTTGAAAAATTAATGCACTTACATTTTACTTCTCTTGAGTTCAACCCATTTATAGATGTTGTTTGAGCGATATTCAATATTTATTTTTATAGACTAACTTTCTACTAAATGGCAATTTAGGAGTAAAGATTTGAATCATTTATTTAATTAGCAATTTAAAGGCCATTTTAGGTCCTAATAACTAGGCCATTCATGAGAGATTCAAATTTAAAACAAATAAGTAAAAAAAAAAAGCAAGGTCCCTGGCTTAAAAAAATGTATAACCATATTGGATGGATTGAAAGGCACACACAAAGAGATATAAAACAAATTATATCAAATCCATGAAAATGTTCAATCTTTAGTTAATTTCTTGCTTTAGTTTACAGAAAAGAAATTTAAATTGTACTTTGGATTCCTAAATTAGGATCTTTAAAGTTATTAATATTGATTCTTTCAGGAATAAGCTACTCGTTGTAACGAAATGACAAGCATAGCTAGAAACTTGCCACTTTAAGACTAAAATGTGGTAATTTTTATTTCTAAAAGTGAGAAATAGCTCTTTTAATACTATATCACTCCTCAGTATAACTCTACTGACAGGACACTTAGTATTAGCTCCTCTGGTGGCCCTTTTTAAAAACATATTTTCATATTCTTAGGTGAAATCTTATTGCAGATGCCATAGTGACATGAAAATATTTTATATGATGATTTGTCAGTAGCTTCTAGTGCATTTTCAAAACTTTTAAAAGTAATTTATTTCAATAGTTTCTTTCAAAATAATAAGAACTAAAACACATAACCAAATAGTAACTTTAAAGTAGTGAAAGGGAGCTATTTGTTATATTCACACGCTTTCCTTGTTTTCAGTAACTTTTTATTGACAAATTATTCATTCATAAAGTGATTACATATAAAATGAATGATTATTTTTGCACACATACTATTTACACAACAATAAATATTTTTGAAGACCTATTATGTGCTGTGGACTCAATTCAAAAGGAGAAGATCAAATTGAAGTTGAATGCCAAATTTCATAAGAGGTTCTCTAAAACTTCTGGAAAGCTATAGTAGAATGAACTTACATATCTAATTGCAACTATATTTTTCCAATATTCAAATACACATACCTAAAATGTTACTATCATTCCTTTTATATTCTATTTAAAGAGGAATTCTTATTTGTTTTATTTGGTTTCTCTTTGCGACATACTTTAAAGCCACATTTTTTCAAGAAATATGCCACATTCTTGTAAAAAAATATGATAAAATGCCATAGCATATGAAAGAAGTTCCTGGCCTACAATAGATGCCCAGCAAAGGCTTAGGAGAGAATTAATCATGAATTTGCATTTTAAATTTAATTTCCCCAAATGGTAGAAACTGAAATTGTGTATGCATTGAGAAGCATCTTATTATATGGTAAATGCTATATCATAAATCTCCTTGATCTGGAAGTGGAGTCTACACCTTTATAGTAGGGGTGACAAGGGATAGTGGCCCCTATCTTTATCCTGAGCAGTGGTTCTCAAATTTCAGTTCCAGAGCAGTGGCAGCAACAGCTTACTTGAGAAATTGTTGGTAGGACAGGTTTGAGGGACCCTCCACAGATCAGCTGAATCAGAAGCTATGGCGATGGGACCCAAAACAAAAGTGGTACTGATGCATGCCAGGCCCACTAGGTAATATGTACTATCCATTGGTAAGGCCCTTCCTGGATTGGGTGTTTTCATGGAATCTAAGAATATATAGAGATTGAGCTATTTCAAGATCCTGGCACTAATTTAGCACTGCACAAATCGCTAGAATACAATAAATGCTAAGCATGCAAAGTATCAATGTAGAATGTATAATTTTCCATTTGGGAAGAGCATAATGAAGTTTAAATGTCAGCATAATTAGCATGAAAAACAAGATTTCATATTCACCACCAAAAACATTTTAAATGTCTACTTGTAAATATCTTTATGCTATAGTCTACATGTGGGTATAGAACATGGATCTACAAGGATCAAGCTATGGTAATACATAATAATAATTATGATACTTTACATGTGTATATTTCTTTACACTCTGCAAACCTTTCACATGCCTTTTTAATTTTAATTTTCACAATAAACCTTTGAAGTAGATAGTAATACCCTCTTGTGTGCAAAGAAACTAGTCAAGTAATTGCCTCTGGTCATAATATTACTAAATGAAAGTTTCAGGATTCAAACTCAAGGCTCTGGCTCTACGGATAAACTGTTATGCAATTCCTTGACTCATTTTTGCACAAACAATTGCTCAGAACATAAGAATAACTTCTAGGCTCAATTGTGTAAAGTCCAAATATTTGTGTAAAATCCAAAAATTTAAAGAAAGTGGAGAGACAAGAATAGTGTTTATAAATTTGACACGAAAAAGGAAACTTATTAACCAAAATTTCTAAATCAAATTGAACGACCTGCAGCTTGAGAAAATTAGGCATGAGAGAAATCTAAAAGGAGAAATTCAAGTATTGAAAGCAATGTAAATACAGCAAATGCTGGTGTTCTGAGTATATTCTCATGTTTTATGTTATGACAACATATTCTTAATTATGAGGTGCCCCTAGGAAAGCCTAAAGAACAGTCCTTTACACTTGTTTTGGTATAATTGTAATCACTACCAATCTGGCCTAGCTAAATGCACTGCACCGTAAATCAATTACTGATTGTTTTCATGTTTTAAATCTTTTACAGAAAAACACTACACCAAGAATTTTTTTTTTTTTATCATTATCCTGTGGGCAATATGTTTTAAACCACATCTTGTAGATCTTGTCCTAAGTGTTTTTCTTCACATGTATTTTTCAGAATAAGAGAAATATATCATGCCACTGACATTAATACCAATTCTGGGAAAATCTGGAGCATTGCTACAGCATTTCCATATCGGCTCTTTTCTAATACCAAGTTCAACATAAATATTTTCACTGACACCTCAACAGAACCGCTTCGTTTGATGCCATATGGTAAGCAACCTTGCAAACAGATATAGAAATCTACATAGAGCTGATGTTGGTTACACAGCCTTGAGTTCACAGATTGAAATCTTTAAAAGAAGAATTATTAGCTACTGTTTTGCCCTGAAGTGAAACAAAAGGAAAATAGCTGAGAGCCTTTTCTTAACATTTGATAGAGAAAAGGGGAACTATTTTCTTCAAGAACTCTCTTCACATAGCTCACCCCAGAATACTTAGTTTCCTGCTATAAAATACTTAAGAGCAAGTATAGTGGGCTTTCAACATATTAAAAAAAATTCAAAAAGATTCTAGATAAAGATGGTATACAAGTGAAAATGTCCATTAGGAACATTAGGACATTTCCTGTCCATTAGGAACAACTATTTCATTCAAATATAAATAACTTGTGAGGTAGAATAAGCATCTATACATAGAATATTTCCACAGCAAGAAGTCTGGTACCCATGTGTAGCAAATCCCATCAGAATCAGCAGACCAGGCCAGGCGAAGTGGCTCACACCTGTAATCCTAGCACTCTGGGAGGCTGAGGCAGGAGGATCGCTCAAGGTCAGGAGTTCAAGACCAGCCTGAGGAAGAGCAAAACCTCATCTCTACTAAAAATAGAAAGAAATTATCTGGACAACTAAAAATATACATATAAAAAATTAGCCGGGCATGGTGTCACATGCCTGTAGTCCCAGCTAGTCAGAAGGCTGATGCAGAAGGAGTGCTTGAGCCCAAGAGTTTGAGGTTGCTGTGAGTGAGACTAATGCCATGGCACTCTAGCCCAGACAACATAGTAGTGAGACTCTGTCTCAAAAAAAAAAAAAAAAAAAAAGAAGAATTAGCAGACCTATGGATTCAGAGTCTCTGGAGATGGATCCCAGTAATTTGCATTTTATCAAACTCACCTGATAAGTCTTCTCTAAAATTTTAGAATATCTTTAAGGTAATTTTATATCTTGTTTCATTGTTACAGTTCGCTATTTTGCAAACCAATATTAGTTCTTTACAGAACATTTCATTGATACTAAATGAGCGTCTGCATATCAATAGAAAAATGCTTTCTGTCATATAATGATCCAAGGAATATTTTATTTTATTTATTGATCATTATTATTATTTGCTTTATTCTTTCCTACTCTATTCAAGATTCCTAGTTAGTGCAGGTGACTACAAACACAACGTTATATTTTTATATTAGTTAAGACCATCTGGTTTGTTACTAATGGAAACCACCTCTTACAATCTTAAGCAGAAAAAAAAATAAAGTAATGTAGGGATTTCTTATACAATTCAAAAGTAGGAATGCAGCAAAGAATTAGGAATGTACTAAAGACACAAATGACCACACAGCCCAAAATTCCTGTATGCCTCCCACTTCAGCTCTTTTTATAATTGCTTCTGTTTCTCTCTTGCTCTCTGCTAACTTATTTCCTTTTTCTTCTCCAAAGAAAAGTGGAAAGCCAAGCTCTCAAACATATGGACTATTTGGCCAAACACCTAAAGGAAGTTCAATCACTCTATTCGATCCAATTCCCAATTTCTAAAAGCAAATTCTGATTGCCCAGTCAAGATCTATAGTGCTACACATTGATCCAGTGAGAATGGCCACAGGTCTGGGTCGTGTTGGCTTCAGCCTCTGGAGAAAAGGAAATAATTGTGACTACAGCATCTACTTCAGTCTTCCAAGTTACAACATTTAATGTCCAACATCACTCTCTCTGGACGGGACGTCCCTTTGGCAAACCAGAGGCCATTTTTTACTTTCATGAGAGGTTTCAGTAAATTGGTTAGGTCATTGTTTTCAGTGTGAGAGATGCAAAGTGAGAAAGAGGGTGTCCATGCCCTCCAAGGTGTTACAAGTCTAAGGAGGAAGAGGAAGGTGTGGAGGAGGAGAGGAAGAAGCAGAAGAGGAGAAAAGTCACGTTCATGACAACATACAGAGTAACATTAGCCCCTATTTGGAGGAAATCTTTTCCTCTACCCACTTAGGTTTGAATGGTTGTGAAAGGGTTGGGAGAGGGGGAAGTATTGCAGTGAATTAACTTGCAAACAGATTAACAGGAAAAACCCCACAAGGTTTATGTACATGGAGTTTACTCAGTGATGAGTAACTCCCTGAATACCCAGAGGTTATATACCAACTTACCAAAATAGGAGGGGTTTTAAGGGCTTCAATAGGAAAGTATGGAGGGTCCTGTTTTTTCTTTTGTGTAATATTAATGACAATGGACAGCCTGTCTTCTTCCTGGAATTTGCAAGAAAATCCCTCAGAGGGGCGTTCATGACAGCTGTATTTTCTTGGGTCTCTGCTTTAGTCAGATAAAGAACATTCAGCTAAGATTTTTAACAAAAAATTCTCTGTTCTGTAATCTCCAACTATCATTTCAGTGAAGATGATCCTCAAGTCCCTATTTTCAATTCCAAAGTTGCCCTAGAGTCAGTGTTTTTACAATGTAGATGTAGATGACCCATGGTTGGAACTGTCTGTTAGGAAGCCATTTGTGACATGGTGCAATGGATTGGAAGTGGAAGTCTGTTTGCAAGGATTAAAGGGCAATAGTTAATAAGAACTGTAGAAATTGTCTACTCTTTAAAGAAGTTTGTTGGTAAAAAGTAACCTAAAAGAAAAGATAGTATCTAAGGAAATAGAATGGATGAGGGGATATTTTACCGGAAGGTTGAATGGAAACAGAACATCTTTAGGAAAAGGGGGAAGCATCTTCAAAGTGAGGGTGTTAAATATACAAAAGAGAGGGTGGTTAGCTGATGGAACTGAAAGCCAGTTTAAGAAGATTAGAATTTAAGAGCAAGATTTAGTAAAAAGCAGGGACCCTTGTATCTCAAAAGAGGTGTAAAAGCATAGGGAAGGATGGATGAAAAACTAGATTTGAGATATAGAGTAGGATAATTAAAGAATTTCTAATAAATAAGGTAGGCAAATTGGCTAACAGAATAAGAAGTGTTGCATGGTGTGGGAAACCACAAGAAATTGGGAAAAGGATTATATCAGTGGTCAAAATAAAAGTACTGGTATACAATCTATTTAAAGGAAGCCACAGTACTTGGCTTACAATATGAAGTTTAACTTACAGACTCTTCATGGCTGGCTTCAAGGGGAAAGATAATGCTTTCAGGCTTAGAAATGCTAAATTTGAAGTAGTAATGAGACATCCGAAGATTAATATGAGGCAGGTAGTAGGAGACATTAAACCAAAGCACAGGAGAAGAGAATTATAGCTAGAAATTGAGTTATGGAGTCTTCCATGTAAAGAAGAAAGATAATTTTAACAAAGTAATAATAGTTCATGAATATCCCATATAGCATAGGGGATGCAGTCCTAGAGATGAAAATGTCAAATTAATCAATTAAGTGAATTGTCTTTAGAAATATTTTTCTAACAACATATACTGGCAATTCTCTCCCCTCTACATCAAAGCACTTATAGTCATGATTTTGCCTGCAGCCATATTTTCTAATAGCTTCAATTCATATGATTTTTGTCAATATTTCCAAGTTGGCTTAAGATACTCTCTGCCATGGCAAAGCATTTCCATAATCCCTAATTTCTTAATTATGTTTACCATTTACTTTTCCAAGCATGTCTTTAATGACATCTTGATCTATCATAAAACTCACACTTTTAGATCCAATGTTATCCTCTTTCTTTGTTATTGTGCCAGCAATGTCACTTGAACTACTTTTTGTTAGGCAGTTTAGGTCAAAGTATTTTCCCTCCAAACAAAAATTTTGCAGACAAAATTCAACTCAGAGGAATGCAAAATTGACCATTTGCAGAATGCCAATTCTTGCTGGCTACAGGTCATATCTGCTTCAGCGCTTTCATTAACCAAGATTATATAGACCACATTCAAGCATGGAGACACACGCGTACACACACACACACACACACACACACACACACACAGAATCTTGCGATGTTTATAATTTATAAGTAGGAAAATACTTCATGGACAAATATCATTGTAACAAGTCATCATGGTTCTAGCCATTGTTAAATGGCATGTACATGTAAGATCTTAGAATGGGAAATTATGAAATGTGAAGACAAATGACTTCACTGTACAATGTTTACATTTTGAATCCCAGAGAAAAAGATGGAGACAAGAAGCATGTATTCATTAAGGTTTCTATGATATAATGGTTCAAGACAGAATCTTGAGTGATTACTCCTCGGGAAAGGAGGAATAAGCAACTGTGGAGACTTAAAAGTCTTTTAAGGGCACAGGCTTTGGAGTCTAACAGATCTTGTTGAGACTTTTGGCATACTACTCAATCTCAACCAAATTACATAGCTTCTTTGAAAATTAGTCAATGCATGTTCAAAATTTGGAGTATAATACCTTTATCATAGGTACTATAAGCAAGATATTGCATGTAAAACACTTAATAAAGTGCTCAATAAAATCATAACTATTGTTAATATTAATCCTAGAGCAAATATCAATTGCAAAACACTGCTGACTACATTTGCCTATACTTTTCTTATGTTAGCATCACACCAGACTCCTGAAAGAAATAAACCATGCTACTACAAACCCTATTTAACAGATGATTAAAATAGGTCAAAGATGTGAAATAATTTGCCCACTTACATTAGCTAAAAGTGGTGAATGCTATGTGATTTTCAGCTTTTAGTGGTAGAATATTGATAAGCTCTTGTCAATTGTTATAAAATTGTCTTAAGATCATGTCATAAATTTTAATTTTAACTAATATAAATGCTCTGAATATATTTCAGTTAATTCAAAATCCTTTTATCATGATGGTACTCTTAGATTGAACAATGTATCTTATTTAAGTTGAAAATGGAAAGAAGAAAACACCCCTGGAACTTTTGCCCAGCTATGGTTTTCCTAAAGCTTTAAGGGTATTTCCCTGATCCCTAAGGGTAGCCACAGTAGATTCGCTTTTATGCAGAGCTACAAGGTACTGAGGGTTTAACTTGAGGAAAACAATACCTAGTTTTGCTATATTATAAGAAAATAGAACTGATTAAAGGAATTGCAAAGAACATTTTAAAAATCTCTAAATCTAACCAGACTAATACATGAAATGAATTTTGTTTTAATTCCTCTTTTTTTTGAATATGCAACACATTATTTTTTCATTTCAGCATATTATGGGGGTATAAATGTTTAGGTTACATAAATTGCCTTTGCCCCACCCTAGTCAGAGCTTCAAACGTGTGGTGCACACCACACCCATTAGGTGCGAATATACGCATCCCCTCATTTCCCCTCCCACCTGCCGAACACCTGATTAATGTTACTACTATCTGTGCCCGTAAGTGTTGACCTATTAATACCAATTTGATGTGGAGTACATGTGGTGCTTGTTTTTCCATTCTTGTGATACTTCACTTAATAGAATGGCCTCCAGCCCCATGCAGGGTAATACAAGAGGTACTAGATCACCATTGCTTTTTGTGGTTGAGTAGAACTCCATAGTATACATATACCATATTTTATTAATCCACTCATGTGATATCTCTTCATACAGCTAGAGAGTTACAATACTTCATAATGTGCTTGTCGCTGTGCTCAGAAACTTTTTCCCAGTCATTAAATGATAAATTCTTATTGTCTTGTATCATTTACCTTTATTTTTAGCTAATTGTCTTGTCAAAGACCTAATTGCAGAAATTCTACATTTTTGTACAAATGTCCAGCTATTCCCCAAAGATCATATTCTAAGTATATGTGGCTCTGAAGAATTCTTGCAAAAGTAAGTATCTTATTAAGGTAAATTTTGATCTTTTTTTTATAATGTGTAAGTGTTAAGCAGTACCTTTTTTTGTTTTTTGTTTTCTGTTAAACAGATTTTACACAAACATTTTACTTTAATCAGAATAATTAAATCACTTTTACCTCCTTTACTGTGAATTTGAAATGTTATGAATCATATTAATAGGCTTATTCTTGGTTTTATTTTATCAGTAATTATGGCAAGAGATATTTAAGTGGCTTATGACTAGATGGGTGACCAACCATCTCAGTTTGCCCAGGAATTAGATGATTCTCAGGACTTGGGAATTTCAGTTTGAAACCAGTAAAGTCCCAGGCAAACTGGAACAGATTGGTTACCCTGCCTGTAATAAAGCTTATTAGTACTGATCCCAGTTGAGAAAATAAATTTTTTCATAATAAGTAATTTTTTGATTTGAAATAATATTAACATGTTGATAAAATATTAATTTTTAAAAATTACACAGGGTTTAAGTGCAAGCATTATAACATTTTTATTATAGAAGAATAAGTTTAAAAACATATTCATTTCTTTATTGAGGCAGCTCATTAAAACAATCAGAATAGTCCTTTCTCATGTATATGAACTTTAAGTATTTGTTTGATAGAAAATTCATCTTTCACTTTACCACAATAGCCATTTGCTTTAAAATCCTTAGAGACCATCCTTGAAAACATAACACAGCTTTAGGAAAAGAAATATTTCTTTACTGATAATGCATAGTTGTTCCAAACAATAAAATACTAAAGACTAAAATGTTCAATAAAATGGATTACCCTTTGCATTTCTCCTTTCATTTCCACAAGTGTCTAAAAACTGACAGTAATCTTGTAGAAGTAAAATGTACTTCTTTTGATATTCCCATTGTCACTGTCATTATTATTCATCATAAAGTGCTTGAAAACATCTTGTGGGTAATTTGGTGAATTTGATGATATTCTTATCAGAAAATTCAATTGTTCATTATGCAATGTTAACTGTGAATGATTTTTAAGAGTATTTTCCTTTTTGTGTTACCACTTATAATAAAATAATAAATATTTCTTTTAAATCACAGAAATTTTTTTGCACTAAGCTTGCAGATATCCCCGCTTTTCTTTTTCTATTTGAACGTATTAACATACTTAATGACAAGGCTGCTACTTTCTTCTAACATACAGTTTTGACAGTATATTCAATGAACACAAGAAAATATCTTAGTAAATTTAATCTTATATTGACTACTCATTAAAACTTACCTTTTGAATGTGCAATTTTCCAAATGTACATCTGTACTTTGCTTGATGCCAAAACATAAGATCCAAAGAGCAAGAAACATTTTTAAATATTTGCATTCAGTTTTGACAGTAAGAAATATCATCCAGACAGCAATTATGTTAAAGAGATAAAAACTTGGAAAAGCATAATGAGGAGAAAATTTACAATGGACCTTGATTTAATCACTGTTTCAAATAGATAAATCATTCATAAATAACTCAATAATTGACTGATAAAAATATTGTACATTTTAATATTTTCATAGCCACTTAATAATATTAAAATTTATTTAACTGAGTTTTATTAAGATGGGAAAGTTGCCAAGTATTAATGTAGGTTAAATATAGTCATTTATTCCCTAATGGAAATTGAAGCATTTGTATATAACAGGGATTTGCTTACTATTTAAGAGTAAAGCCTATCTGTATTAACGTAATTTATTTTAATGAGCCGAATATTCATAACTGTTCTTTCTAATATCTAAAGTAATATACATTAGTCATTTAAATTTTATTTTTTAGTGTGCTCCAATATAATTTGTCTGAAAAAAATATATCTTTAAAGCTTGGAAATCTGTTCATATAATTCTTCTATGGAGGGAACACAGGTAACCTGTAATAAGTTAATAATGCAAGAAGTAATAATTCAGACTCAAAACCTTATAGTACTACACTTCATCTGGAGTATTCAATTGGCTAAAGTAGCAATGATAATAACAAAAGTAATTGTCATTTATTAAATGCTGATTGTTTGCTTACCTCATATTGGGTACACATTTAAGTCTCATAATATATCTATGAGATTGATATTATAATGACCTCTGTTTTATAGATGGGAAATCTGAGACTTTGTTCAAGGTCATACAACTAAGAAAGTAGAATAGATCCTGAATTCAAATGGGTTTGTCTGCTTGCATAGCCCTGGCTCTTAACTACAATAACAATACTGTAAAAACACTTGATCAGGATACAGGAAATAGCAAATAGTTTTTCATGCTGGAGTATATGATAAAAATTGTATGCAGTTTTGTAGGTGTATGCAAAGGTAGGAGTATAAGAACCATAGCAGTCCAATTCCAAACCTATTAAGCTCTATACATGTGCAAAACATTTGGTCATCACTGAGAATATAAGGATGATTTATATATAATTCCTGCCCTCTTTCTTGCCATGTAATAGGTTATTATAAAAGCCCTATTATGAGGATAATATTACTATTATATACTAATTGCCTTGAGATTAGAGGGGAGATAAAGATTAGAGCAAGAATGAGAAAATGGTAGAAAGAAAAGTTAATGATCAACTTGTATTTAAAGGATAAATACTGAGGAACGAAATCAGTATAAAATCTTAATAGCCTTAGAATATATAAAATGCACATATAATTTTTAAAAAAATAATTATCAACTAAAAATGAAACAGGTTAAGAATGTGAATAGCAACTCAAATGACAAGAAACATTTAAAGATTTTAACCTAACTAGTAACAAAAATGCAGTTAAAACAATGAGAAGCCACTTTTGCCTATCAAATTGTTAAAATGCTTACAATGAAATTCAGTGGAAAAATGAATACTACCCAAATAGCTGTTGGGAATATAAATTGATACAGCATTTGCTGAAGGGAATTTTGTCAAAAATGTATCAAAAGTCTTTATAATATCTGTATTCTCTGTTTCAGCAATTCTGCTTCTACAGATATTTCTAAGGAAACAATTATAGTTACACAAAAAGATTTAGATATAAAGGTATTTGCTATAGCATGATATCTAATGATAACGAGGAAAACTGAAGAAAAAGCTAAATATCCAGTAATACTCCAAAATAATGGTTAACATATATCATGAAACATAATTTGATGAAAATATGGTATAGAATTTATAAAAAATTTTTAAAATATAAGCATTCTATGCCTTGATATAAAAACATGTATCATAGTTTGTAAAGGTAAAAAAGAAATGTTTTCAAACCACATTTTAAAATATTAATTTTCTTTAAAAAATATATTTTGTATTTGAAAAAAAATGAAATCCTATGTACTACAATATTAGAGTATTTATACCTATTTCGAGAAAGAACTACAATATGGATATTTATTTTCATTTTTTAATTTACAAAATTTTTACAGTAAGCCTGACTTTTTGTTATCAAGATATTAAGAAAATAAATTATCTTTATTGGGAAAGAAACATTTAAATGACAGTGTGAATAACAATGTATGCTTTAAAAGAGTTGGAAAGTAGAATTAGAAGGCTATTCCTGAACCTATGAAAGATAGCCAGGGCCTGGGGCCAAGTAGCAGCTGTAGGACTAAACAAGAGGTACTACAAGGTCTGTCCAGAAAGTATCCAGGCATCGTTAATATAACAAGAATGGTCTGGGCGACATTGATATAACCTAGCTAGGCAATGACAGTGAACTGGGATGCGCATGCGTGAACAATGACAACTTCACTGTACTCGTCAGTGGGGAGCTAGAGTGAGCGTGTGCACTGTGTGGCCGTCGCATTCAAAATGACTGAGTCAGCAGAGCAACAAATCTGCATCAAATTTTGCATTAAGCTTGGACATTCCTCTGTAGAAACTATTCAGATGAATCAGAAGGCTTTCAGGGACTATGCAATGAGTGCAGTGCAAATAAAAGTGTGACACAAACGCTTCAAAGATGGCCAAGAATCTGGTGAAAGTGACCCACGTTCTGGAAGGCCTGAAAGAAGCAGAACACCTGAGAATGCTGAACTTGTCGGGTTAGGTTAAGAGATGCTGGGAGAACTGCGTGAGGTCCCAAGGTGCCTACTTCTAAAGGGACTGAGGTATCATTGTCCTATGTACAATATTTCCTGTATCTTGTATCTTCTTCAGTAAATGTCTCTATTTTTCCTATTACATGGCTGGATACTTTCCAGATACACCTTGTAAATCCACTGGGAATTACAGTGGTGGATATAATGGAACTTGGTGACTGAAAATGTGGGATGGCATGGGGGGAGAAGCAGAAATTTGAACACCAGGTTCAATGGTGACTTCAATAACAACAATAAGTATCTGAGAGAAATAGAGGCTGGGGGTGCATAGGAATCAATTAAGTTTGAGACATGTTGAGTGATGAAGGACAACTGATATTGAGAAAGTAGATCGGATTTTAGGAAAACTTTATGGGCTAAGGAATGATGGCTTTTTAAAATTAATTTATTTTAAATAGACAAATAAAAATTATACATATATATTTGTTATATATGACATGTTTTGAAATATGTATGTGTTTTAGGATGGATAAATTGACCTAATTAGCATATGCATTGCCTCACATTCTTATTATTTGTGATGAGAATACTTAAGATGGACGCTATTATGGGAATCATTGGTTTTCAAAGGGAATGAATGGAAGCTTTCAAAATGGGTGAGATCACGTAGAGAAAATGACAAAAGAAGAAAATCCTGAGAACATCAATATGTAATGAACAAAGAGAAAAAGGAGCAGAAAAAGGAAATTGAGAAAAAGTACACATTAGAAAACGTGTCTTTGACAACAAGGAGAGAGGAAGTTTCAAATACCAAGTAATATACTGCCAAGTGCTAAAAAAATCAATGCTATTGTTTAGTAAATCACCATTAAATTTGAGAATTAGGAAGTTATTTAGTGACACAAGTAAGAGTAACTTTAGTAAAGAGGCAGAGAGAAAATCAAGATTGCAATGAGCTGAGAATGGAAAGTGATAAATAGAA